CCCTTCCTCTCTGTAAAAAATCAATAAAATATATATATATATTTTTTAAAAAAGTCTCTTAAATCTATAATAAAAAAAACTCCTTTGACAGGGCTCACCATGTATCTTTTCCTACTCTTACTATATAGCAAGATTCCAATACTTAAAGGAATTAAAATATTCAATATCTCTTTCCAGCATAAATTAATTTTTTCACAATGTTTAAAGGAATTAACTATATATCAGGTCCTTTAATCTTCACAATATTATTGCAACCACTGCTTTTTTTTTTTTTACCATTTATATTTACCAGATATTTAAAATGGTCATCCTTTCATTCTTTTAAACCCCAGAGAAATTTTTACTGATAAAGTGAGGAAGGAGTGCACTAAAATAAAGCTTCAAAGGCCACCAACATACCAAAGATTCAATGATGCCATTCATGGTTGCGCTTATCCCTGTTGAAGTGGACATCTGTTTCAACAGTTCATAACACAAAATAAGACACTTCTGTAGTGTCTCAGCATCATTCTAAAAATGAAACACAAAATATTCAGCATTAGTATGTGCCATGACCTTTCAGTGCATGGGACAACGCTCCAACCAATTGAGCCACACCAGCCAGGGCAAAAGAAGACTGTAGCACATGAGGGGGCAAATAAAGTCCTAGCTACAATAATTAAAGTTAGTTAAGGCCTCTCAAAGTCCAAAATAGAAAGGAACAGGAGGGGAAAAAATATTTTCATATTAATTCATGGTACTGTGAAAAAGCCCTCCAAAGTAAATATATTCTGGCAGCTTTCTGGGTTTAAAAAAACCAGTTTAGTTGAGATAAATATCAGCTGAAATTTTGCATAAAGAAGTTATCTATACCTTCTCTATATGGACTTCTTTAATTTCAAGCTGCTCTGTCTCTTTCAATAGGTTTACTCTGGCATCTTCTAATGCTTTTATTTCTTCTTTTAACTCTGATGCTCGCTTAAAATCCTGTAGGGTAATGCAATTTTCCAAAGCTTCTTTTGTCTCAATAAGTTTAACTTTTATCTCAGCCATCTAGGAAAGATATAAATTGATTGTGTAAATACCAAACAAAAACTATTAATATGAAAATCTGTAGCAAACTGAAGAGTACAATATAACATCTCAATGTCCCAGAAGTTAAGCCAGGCATATACAAAGTTGTAGTCTTCCTGAAACAGAGACCTGCAAATCTTTCTGATTGACATAATCTGACAACATTTAAGATACTCTTATAGCTTAACTAGAGAACCAGTACACGAAATTTGTGCACTCGAGGGGGGGTTCCTCAGCCCGGCCTGTGCCCTCTCACAGTCCGGGACCCCTCAGGGGATGTCTGACTGATGGCTTAGGCCCGCCATCAGACAATCTTAGCACTGCCGCGGAGGCGGGAAAGGCTCCCGCCACCGCCACTGTGCTCGCCAGCCGTAAGCCCAGCTTCTATTTGAGCAGCACTCCCCCTATGGGAGCACACTGACCCCCAGGGGGCAGCTCCTGCCTTGAGCGTCTGCCCCCTGGTGGTCAGTGCGTGTCATAGCGACTGGTCGTTCTGCCGTTCGGTCAATTTTCATATTAGCCTTTTATTATATAGGTTAATCAATAATTTTACCTTGTGAGAACAATTCTGAAAATGTACAGCAAGAGGGAATAAAAGACTTGCAGAACTACATTACTAGTATATTCAAGCATTTCTTTAATTCATAAGAGACTTACCTTGAGTTCTTTCTTTCTTGCATCAGCTGGATCAATTTTAACACCAACAGTAACAATGGGTGCCCGAATCTCTGAGATAATTTCTGTAACCTGGTAAGTAAAGTTATAATTCAGCATACATGCTGTAATATTTGCTCTATTTCAGAAAATGACATACAACTCATTAGTATCCAGAATCTCTTGAAAAATAAAGCAAAATATACAAGTAAAAATGGTACACATTCTATTTGCTAGACAATTTTAGAAAAAAATTACCAAATACATCTGACTAAAAACTAATATTATGGAAGATAACAGGCACATAGATACTGAAGATAAGTTCTCAAATATTGCTTGAGAAACAGAAAAAATGAATATAGTGCTTAACCTTAGGTAGCATAAAACTAAAATTCTCTGCTTAAAATTTTCACCTCCCTCCCTTATTCAGCTTCATGGGAGCTAAATATAAGAAATAGAATACTCTTATTATTCCTCTGGATATACAATGCATAAATAATAACAGCACGCCCTGACCGGTTTGGCTCAGTGAATAGAGCGTCGGCCTGCGGACTCAGGGGTCCCAGGTTCAATTCCAGTCAAGGGCATGTACCTTGCCTTCCTCTCTGTAAAAAAATCAATAAAATATATATATTTAAAAAATAATAATAATAATAATAACAGCACAACTAAAGACTTTCCTTTCAGAGCTATTGGAGTTAGCCGATTCAGGAAAAGGCTGCATCCCAAATGAGGGTACTTAAGCAGACGCTGGATAACCACTAACTAGGAATGTCGTAGAAGGGATTTATGTGTAAGTATGTATTTATAGGAAGAGGTTGGAAAAGACAACCTGTGAATTAACTTAAGATTTTACAAAAAGCAATAATAAAGGTCTTTTTTGGCTACCCCAGAGAAAATAACACTTGGCAACAGTAATATTATACTAACATTTATTTCTGTATTTACAAAGCAGTTCATGAACATTATTTCATTAAATAATGAAAGGTAGGTTTTATTGTTATTCCATTTTGCAGACAAATAAAAAAATCTTAATTAAATAACTTGCTCAAAATCACAAAGCCAGAAAATGTCAGAGGGGGCTTGAACCCAGGTATGTATAACTTGAGCCAGCTCTCAAATACTCTAGTGACCATGCCCAAAGTCACCTCTTCCCTAACCGGCTGCATTTCAAACTGATACAACACAATGGTAAGTATTCTAAGAGGAGGAGATATTTTTTTAAGTATGTGTGGGTGTGTGTGTGTGTGTGTGTGTGTGAGAGAGAGAGAGAGAGAGAGAGAGAGAGAGATTTGATTAGATTTGATAGAGACTAAATTAAAAGTTAAAGACAAAGCAAAAGTACTGACGGAAAAAAAAAAGACAATCCTCAGTCATTGACCAAAACCGCGTAACTTTATCAACAATGAAGAAAATTACTTACAATTTGTGTTCTCTTATTATCATCTATAATGATGTGGAGCAGTCTCTCAACAAGAAAAGAAATTAGGGACATTGGGGTTGTGGGTATAGTAAGAATCTCCTGTAAAATAGCCAGCAGTCGTTTCCTGCATTCAAAAAGAACTATTTTAATTTAAATATGACAGCAGAAACACATTTTATCTCTAACTTTTCTCCTCTTCTGCAGACTTAAATCACATTTGTCTCAGTTCTTTGTTACATTTATCACTATAGACAAAAAAATATATGAAGAGATTTTAGATCAAAAATTTATGTTCTGCAAAAAAAAATTATAAATGGCCTTATAATCTTTTATAAATCAACATAATGAAATGACAAAATACCAGAAGTGAATAAAACCTTTTAGATAGTATTACTAGCCCTGTCATGAAGACAAATATATTTTTATGCATAAACCTGCAATTTCATTGATTTATTCTAAAGAAATTGAATTAAGACCTCATAAAATAAAATTTAAAAGTAAACAAAAAAATAAAGAATCCTCCTGAAAAAAAAGACCTCACATATTTTATATGCACACACACTCCAGGGGAGGGAGGAGACAGGGAAGGACGCAAGAGTATGTTTCCTTTTATATATTACATATACATGAGGAGAGAGAATATTTTTTATAACATGTTAGAGAACTAGGTTAAATACAGGGGTGGATAAAAGTAGGTTTACAGTTGTGAGTACACGAAACAGTTTATTCTTGTATTTTTACTAATTATTCTATTATTTTCCATAGGAACAACTGTAAACCTACTTTTGCCCACTCTGTATATTTAATTATATTATAACAAGGCTATATTTCAATATAGAATTGGAACAAATTCAAACTACAGTTAACATTTAGACATACCTTCCTCCTTCTTCATTAGTATCCAAAGACTTGATAATTAGAATCAATTGCTGACCTATGAACTCTTTTGTCATCAAATGTCCAATGTAAGAAAAATCATTTCTGCGTTCATCATCAACAACCGGAATGCTCTGAATATAACTAAAACAAGAAAATTAATAAATGTAGGATGTATTAAGAAACATTAAACAGCTCCCCATTAGGTGACAAGAGTCTTTTTTTCAGTTCACAGTAATCCAAATATATGGATGTTTATACCATGTGGTACTAATTTGGTTTACAGAGTAAATTCCATGCTATCATCCTGAATTTTTTTGCACAGAAATTTATTGACTTGAATCAATAGAATTTGAAAAATGTATTTTCATTGAAGAGTCAAATTTACTATGGGAAATTTTCAAGAGGTACATATTTAGTTCTCTCAAACTGATAACTATTTCAATGTCAATAGTATTCTCGTATTTTTAATCTTTTTATTTTTCTATTACACTTGATATTCAGTATTTTATATTTGTTTCAGGTATATGTCACTAGTATTCTCAATTTTAAAGTTCTGAATCCATTTTCCAAAATCCAATTTCATAAAGAGCTAATCTTCCATCATCCCGAATTAACCACTATTTTGTTTAAAAGAATAGTAGTAATAATAATAGTAATTACACAAGCAATCCATGAATACAATGACCTTTTAAAAATCAGGAAAATACAGACAGCTTCATGAATTTGTATTATCCTTGCTTGGGGCTCTACTAATCTCTGTACTGTTCTTCTTTTAGTGTAGGTGCTACTGAGTAGCACCATCAACTACCCTTGAGTAATTAACTCTTCTTGCTACAAAATGCCTGAATATATATTCTTGAGAGTATCATGAAACAATTTTCCACTTAATTTTATTTCTTTACTTGAGTAAATTAATCCTGCCTAGTAATTTTGCTCCAAAAAGAAAAGCATTCTATTTCTTAAGTATTCTTTCAATAATAATTAAAATACAACTTTTAAAGTTTTCTTTTCTGTAGGTAAAAAAAACAAATTGACTGAAGTTATTTCAAAACTCACAGATTAAATGACAAAGGAAATATAAGTAACCACGCTCTATACATGTCAATATGAACTAAGAATCAATCAATTTGTGAAGCAGTCTTTGATGAGGTTTCCCCTGTTATTTAAATATTTAACATTTTCTCATATTTTTAATATATTCTATATCTTCTATAAGCATTTATTACTTCTATATTAATACATATTACTAAGCATTACATCAAACCCATTTCTTTTGGAAACATTTCAACATGATCCAAACAGCATTATAATGAATATTCTAACTAAATGTTAAAGCCTGAAATAATTACCATTAGTAAATTTACACATGTTTTTCATGATGTTACTACGAGCTCAAACTGTTAAGTTTTCATATTGGCTCACATTTAAGATATTTGTCCTGAATTTAATATTTTGCATGTGAGACTCAAATGCATTTAGAGCTTTGTTCCCTAATTTATATGTGAGACCTTTATAATCAAAAGCAGAATAGTATGTTTTATGCAAAGAAAATTCAGGTCTATAATTCATATTACATAGAAGCTTTTATAAATGCATCAAAAACATAAGGTTAAAAATCTAAACACCAATATCTATGAAAATATATATAATCTTTGGCCCAGCAATTCCACTCCGGGAATCAACCCCACAAAATCTCCAACATACATAAAAATGTACAAAGAAGTTTAACACACTTATAACATCAGTGAAAATTGTAAACACCTATAAAATGTCCATTAACAGAGGAGTAAATTCAAACGACACTACCACATTATGGAGTGATAAGCTGTTAGGACTGTGATATATTTATATGCACCAACATATAATGATCTCAGACACCAGTAGTTAAAAAAAAACAAAAAATATTATGTATAGTGCGCTATATTTTAAAAAAGCATTTCTGCATTTAGTATACATGTATGTAAATGTAGAGAAAGGTTTGAACGTATATACCCCAAATTGTTTAGTTGTTAACCCAAAGAAATCACTGATTGAGGAAATAGCAGATAAAAGAGGAAATTCCACATTTTTATCATATATATGTGTTTATATATACATATACATATGTATATATATGTACATATACATATGTACATGTATATATATATATACATATATATATACTGTATATCTGTGTTGGAATTTTGACAAAAATGAATTCATATTTTATTTGTATAATTTTAAAGCAAAATAAATAAAATTAGAGTAATTCAAATAATTTAAGAAAAAAAAATTGAAAACAAAAGCCAAACACTTACAGTCTTAAGTACTGGCCACAAATGTCTACCCTGTCAGTTGGAAAACTATGGCCCATGCACCAGATACAGCCTACTGGTTTTTTTCTATAGCTTGCAAGCTAAGATTTTTTCAATTTTAAATAGTAGTTTAACATATGTGAAAATATATACATGTGTAAATATATACATGTGAAAATCACATGAAATTCAAATTTCAGCATCCATAAAATCGATAAAAGTGTTACCGAAAAACAGTCACACTTATTCATTACATCTTGTTTTTGCCTACTTTTGCCACAGTGAAGTGAGTCATTGTGACAGAGACAGGATAGCCCACAGACTCTCACATATTTGCTATCTGGCACTTAGAAAAGGTTTCTAACCAATTTCAGAGTAACACATCATCATCAATTTCATGGAAAAATGTACATAATCACATCTTAAGTTTTCAGGAAATATCCCTAAACATACTGACTTTACTCTTTCTTCAGAAAGACTCAATGTGCATACCTATTTATCTCTGTCTATCCAAAAAAAAATGGTTTTCAACTTATTCCCAATCAAGCCTGCCTTTGAGGGAGGGACCTGAGAGACTGACAGGACGGCAACACAAGTACATTCCAAACCAAAGGAAAAAATTTTACCTGAGTAAATACTCTGCAAATATCACAGGCTCTGGCAAAATCTGCTCTAAAAATTCTTCACCTTCATCTCCTTTTGACCTCAAATATTCACAAAGGACACGCCAATACAAAGCATTTTCAGGAGTTAATGTTTCCACTGGAATCAATTTCCTTCATTTAAAAGGGAGAAAATAAAAGGAAGCATGATCTTAAGATCCAGTTAAAATTTTGAACTGAATATAAAAATAGGAATAAGAAGCAAACTTGATTTGAAACCACTATCCTTTTAAACTGCAAAGTCACTAAGTTATCACAAAAAAAGAATGAAAATATTTAAACAAAAAAAATAAATAAAAATCAAATGAGCAAACTATAGGATGGATGCTGTTCAACTTTCCATGGCAGGTTAATGCAAAAATCAAACTAACAAAATAAACAATAAAAAATGCAGCTAAAATGCATATAAGCCTATCCAATGAACACAGACACCAGGGGGGTGAGGGCATGAGTGGGAGGCTTAACCACTATTTTGTTTAAAAGAATAGTAGTAATAATAATAGTAATTACACAAGCAATCCATGAATACAATGACCTTTTAAAAATCAGGAAAATACAGACAGCTTCATGAATTTGTATTATCCTTGCTTGGGGCTCTACTAATCTCTGTACTGTTCTTCTTTTAGTGTAGGTGCTACTGAGTAGCACCATCAACTACCCTTGAGTAATTAACTCTTCTTGCTACAAAATGCCTGAATATATATTCTTGAGAGTATCATGAAACAATTTTCCACTTAATTTTATTTCTTTACTTGAGTAAATTAATCCTGCCTAGTAATTTTGCTCCAAAAAGAAAAGCATTCTATTTCTTAAGTATTCTTTCAATAATAATTAAAATACAACTTTTAAAGTTTTCTTTTCTGTAGGTAAAAAAAACAAATTGACTGAAGTTATTTCAAAACTCACAGATTAAATGACAAAGGAAATATAAGTAACCACGCTCTATACATGTCAATATGAACTAAGAATCAATCAATTTGTGAAGCAGTCTTTGATGAGGTTTCCCCTGTTATTTAAATATTTAACATTTTCTCATATTTTTAATATATTCTATATCTTCTATAAGCATTTATTACTTCTATATTAATACATATTACTAAGCATTACATCAAACCCATTTCTTTTGGAAACATTTCAACATGATCCAAACAGCATTATAATGAATATTCTAACTAAATGTTAAAGCCTGAAATAATTACCATTAGTAAATTTACACATGTTTTTCATGATGTTACTACGAGCTCAAACTGTTAAGTTTTCATATTGGCTCACATTTAAGATATTTGTCCTGAATTTAATATTTTGCATGTGAGACTCAAATGCATTTAGAGCTTTGTTCCCTAATTTATATGTGAGACCTTTATAATCAAAAGCAGAATAGTATGTTTTATGCAAAGAAAATTCTGGTCTATAATTCATATTACATAGAAGCTTTTATAAATGCATCAAAAACATAAGGTTAAAAATCTAAACACCAATATCTATGAAAATATATATAATCTTTGGCCCAGCAATTCCACTCCGGGAATCAACCCCACAAAATCTCCAACATACATAAAAATGTACAAAGAAGTTTAACACACTTATAACATCAGTGAAAATTGTAAACACCTATAAAATGTCCATTAACAGAGGAGTAAATTCAAACGACACTACCACATTATGGAGTGATAAGCTGTTAGGACTGTGATATATTTATATGCACCAACATATAATGATCTCAGACACCAGTAGTTAAAAAAAAACAAAAAATATTATGTATAGTGCGCTATATTTTAAAAAAGCATTTCTGCATTTAGTATACATGTATGTAAATGTAGAGAAAGGTTTGAACGTATATACCCCAAATTGTTTAGTTGTTAACCCAAAGAAATCACTGATTGAGGAAATAGCAGATAAAAGAGGAAATTCCACATTTTTATCATATATATGTGTTTATATATACATATACATATGTATATATATGTACATATACATATGTACATGTATATATATATATACATATATATATACTGTATATCTGTGTTGGAATTTTGACAAAAATGAATTCATATTTTATTTGTATAATTTTAAAGCAAAATAAATAAAATTAGAGTAATTCAAATAATTTAAGAAAAAAAAATTGAAAACAAAAGCCAAACACTTACAGTCTTAAGTACTGGCCACAAATGTCTACCCTGTCAGTTGGAAAACTATGGCCCATGCACCAGATACAGCCTACTGGTTTTTTTCTATAGCTTGCAAGCTAAGATTTTTTCAATTTTAAATAGTAGTTTAACATATGTGAAAATATATACATGTGTAAATATATACATGTGAAAATCACATGAAATTCAAATTTCAGCATCCATAAAATCGATAAAAGTGTTACCGAAAAACAGTCACACTTATTCATTACATCTTGTTTTTGCCTACTTTTGCCACAGTGAAGTGAGTCATTGTGACAGAGACAGGATAGCCCACAGACTCTCACATATTTGCTATCTGGCACTTAGAAAAGGTTTCTAACCAATTTCAGAGTAACACATCATCATCAATTTCATGGAAAAATGTACATAATCACATCTTAAGTTTTCAGGAAATATCCCTAAACATACTGACTTTACTCTTTCTTCAGAAAGACTCAATGTGCATACCTATTTATCTCTGTCTATCCAAAAAAAAATGGTTTTCAACTTATTCCCAATCAAGCCTGCCTTTGAGGGAGGGACCTGAGAGACTGACAGGACGGCAACACAAGTACATTCCAAACCAAAGGAAAAAATTTTACCTGAGTAAATACTCTGCAAATATCACAGGCTCTGGCAAAATCTGCTCTAAAAATTCTTCACCTTCATCTCCTTTTGACCTCAAATATTCACAAAGGACACGCCAATACAAAGCATTTTCAGGAGTTAATGTTTCCACTGGAATCAATTTCCTTCATTTAAAAGGGAGAAAATAAAAGGAAGCATGATCTTAAGATCCAGTTAAAATTTTGAACTGAATATAAAAATAGGAATAAGAAGCAAACTTGATTTGAAACCACTATCCTTTTAAACTGCAAAGTCACTAAGTTATCACAAAAAAAGAATGAAAATATTTAAACAAAAAAAATAAATAAAAATCAAATGAGCAAACTATAGGATGGATGCTGTTCAACTTTCCATGGCAGGTTAATGCAAAAATCAAACTAACAAAATAAACAATAAAAAATGCAGCTAAAATGCATATAAGCCTATCCAATGAACACAGACACCAGGGGGGTGAGGGCATGAGTGGGAGGCTGGGGGGGCAATGGGGGGATAAGGACACATATGTAATACCTTAATCAATAAAGGAAAAAAAATTTTTTTTAAATGCAGCTAAAGTAGTCTATGAAAAAGTAGTGAGTTCTTACACAAGGAAGGAAAAAGGGGGGGGGGGGGGGGGGGGAGATGTCCACCAGAGTAAAAAAAAAAATAAGAGGGATAAAAAGTATTGATGCAATTTGAAGTAATGGGGGGAGGGAACTAATTTTCATTATAGAAACTCATCAGTCTCACATTTCAAATAATGAATAGTTTATATACCTGTCATCGTTATTTTTACAGATTTCTGCCAGTTCATTAAGAGGAGTCACTGAAAATAAGGCATTGAGAACAGAGACTGCCACTTCAGAAGAATTTTCCACATCCAACCGATGAAGCAACTCTAATATATTTCCTTCACTGAAACGCAGCCAGCCTTGCAGAAGATGCTTTTGTGTTGCTTGTTTCACAGCCTCTGTTAAGTCATTTGAAACATAGGTGAACAGAGGCTCCCCCTAGCTTCCATTTCCTGTATTTTGTCTATTTTAATTAATTTATCAGATCAGTGCTAACATAAAGTTAACATTTACAATAAAAATAGAAAGAAACTAAGAGACAGAATAAAGCATGCCAATGAAAAAAACAGAAGTACAATGATATTGCGAAAATCACTATGATGCCCATTTCTGAATAAAAATGAGAAGGGTTAGAATCAAATACACAACCATTATCACAATCTTGTATCCTTTCTTCCCTGGGTTCAAGATAGCATTTTAATAAAGGAGAGAGAGTTGAAAAAGAGATCATGCCCTATTTCTGATATAAATTAGCTCTATAGCCTTAAGCTATAGTTTCTCCATCTGTAAAACACAGGAAAACTGAAACAAGCTTTGTTCCTTCTAAGTATCAAGATCTCTAACTTTAGATAATGTTTTATATACAATACACCAAGATGAATATTTACAGGTTGTGGAGATAATAGGCTTATTTGACTTAATTTAGGACACCTGTTTCCTAAATTTTTTAAGTCAACTCAGAATCTACAAAAGTTTTGTATATGAAGATGTCTATCTTACCTGCTCTGTCATTAAGACCTTGTTGAAGGAGCATTACTCTCTGAGCAATGGACATGGCTCTCATATGAACCTTTTCACCTAAAACCTTAAAGAGATAATATTAAAATGGTCATTAAACTCAACATAGTTTACATTTCATAACTAGCAATAACGCCTTCATCTAAGAAAATGACCCAAAAATCTCCAAAAAAATTAATATTTGGTAATACAGTTAATGCAGTAAGATTCTACTTAAATTACCTATGCTCTCCGAACATAAAAATCTCAATTAAAGAAATCATTATTATTTGCCAAATATTTTTCAAAGTATTTTAAAAATATGGCTTTTTGTCTTTTAAGAATATGCCTACACGAGATATTGAACTTATTTACCTGATAAGCCAGCTTTCTGACAGCCTCTTTCACATCCTTGGTGCGTCCTACAATTTTTGACAAAGTCTTTGCTGATGGTACAATACATGACAGCACTGCTCTCCTAACTTCTGGATTTGAATCATTTTCAATCAAAGTAACATATGCTAAAAATAAAACAATATATTTTAGTACATTAAAGAAATATTTCTTTAACCATAGTCATATCACACATTTTGATATTTAATAGTATCTTTAAAATGATAAAAATATCACTTTTTAGTCTGACATATTTATTCTAGCTGAAGATTTTTCTTCTGTCAACTTCCCTTAATAAGGACAGAATAGGAAATTACTCAATGGATTGAGCATGAAGGCTAAACCAAAAACAAACAGCCTTATAGAACATGGAAAATCCACCACCAGGATTATGTCTCTGCTACTCTTCAAGATTTAGAAGAATGTCTAGTATAGTAGGCAGTTTACTTTTAAACTAATATGACTTTATGAAGAGCCATTATTATTTTGATTTTTAATGAGTTCTTAAAAGAAATAACTTCTGGTTTTACTCACCAAAACAAAATCCATTCCTGAATTTAAATATGTATTTACCTCTACATCTCAAATTTTCCCCAGGTTCATAATCAAGTACATGTTTATTAAACGTGTGTTACACACTATTATTATGTGTACCATTTAACACCAAAAAATATCCAGGATAATCATTATCTCTGAGAGAGTGATGTAAGTGGGATGGGACGTAAGTTAGGTTCCAAAGTTATTGATAATGCTCTATTTTTTTAAGTTGGGTGGTATCTTCTTGGGTGTTTTTTTTAATATATTTTTATTGATTTTATTTTTTTTAAGTTTTTTTTTATTGATTTCAGAGAGGAAGGGAGAGGGAGAGAGAGATAGAAACAGCAGGGGTGAGAGGGAATCACTGATTGGCTGCCTCCTGCATGTTGGACCGAGCCCACAACCCAGGCATGTGCCCTTGACCGGAATTGAACCTGGGACCCTTTGGTCCGCAGGCCGATGCTCTATCCACTGAGCCAAACAGTCTAGGGCGGGTTTTGTTTTTTCTTTTTTAATCATTTATATTCATACTAGAGGACTGGTGCACAAAATTTGTGCACTCAAGGGGGAAGAGGGTCCCTCAGCCCAGCCTGCACCCTCTCACAGTCTGGAAGCCCTCGGGGAATGTCCGACTGCCATGGAGGCGAAGAGGCTCCTGCCACCACTACTGCACTCGCCAGCCATGAGCCTGGCTGAATGGGGCTCCCTATGTGGGAGCAAATTGACCACCAGGGGGCAGCTCCTGTGTTGACAATCTGCCCCCTGGTGGTCAGTGCATGTCATAGGGAGCTGTTGAGCGGCCTTAGCATATCATTAGCATATTACGCTTTGATTGGTTGAACAGCCGACGGGTTAACTGGACACTTAGCATATTAGGCTTTTATTATATAGGATACATGTTTATACTTTCACATATATATAGTTCATAATAAAAAAATTCATCTACTGATAATTTAACAAAGTCAACAAAACTGAAAAAGGATTTAGGTAGCAACACATACCATTAGCCACTGGGCATTCATCATCTTTGGGATCCTGAAGTCTTGAAAGAGCCAGAACTGCCTGTATCCTCACATTTGGAATTTTATCTTTCAATCTAATAAGCATGGCTTCATTAATCTTATCAAACAAATCATCATCAATCTGGGCATTTTCTGGCATATTTCCCAAGAGTTTGTTTATGAGCTGGCATACTCTAAACCTAACAGCATTGCTGTTTGCTTCATGAGACTGAAATGGATACAAACCAAAATGTAGTCACATACCATTACTAAATAATCACATATCATTGAATTCTGTATGTTTAGAATTCAAGAAATTACAACAGTAATTCAATACTTGCAGAAAAACTATGTTCCCTTGATCCACATGCATACTAAAAACATATAAATTCTCAAAAATACAGTCTGAAGTATTTGTTAAATTAGAAGAGCATATTCCTTTTTGGAGGAACTCTTACTTTACTTCTAAAGTAGAGAACTCATTTAAATGTATGGAAGAACTGGTTTAGAGAGGTCATTAAAAATTTAATGCTGGTGTTATTTTAAAAGTCCACCTTTTATAGGGCATTGGGGGGGGGCAGGCGGGCATGATGATGGATGGAGACATGATTTGGGGTGGTGAACACATAATGCAGTGTACAGATTTTGTGTTGCACAACTGCGCACCTGAAACCTGTATAATTTTGTTAACCAGTGTCATCCCGATAAAATAACAATTTTAAAAAGGTCCACCTTTTTATCTTAACGACAGTTTTAGTGTTTCCTATAAAAAGCAGATTCCTTTACAGGCATTTTGTCATTTACCAGGTATGTCAATCTCTAAAATATACAAACTCCCCTGGCCCTTTTAATAGAGTAAAATTTTCTGCAATTACTTCCCCCAAGTTCTAGTTTTCATAATACCTTTAGCAGAAAAGTACACAAGTAATTTAAAAGTCCACCGTCTTCCTCTTCATCGGCTTCCACATCTGATTGGTGAAATGAAGTAACAAACTTGGCTGCAAATTCTATCACCCTCTCCACAACTGGTTCACGTTTGTAGACCACCATAGCATATTTCAGGTAATGCACGAACTCCTCGTGAAAAACTGTTTTATCCTCCATCTGAAGCACAAAAGAAACCTTCACAAACTGCACTGATAAAATCCTTATGTTACCAACATTACTCTAAGAATGCTGAATGCATGAGCCATAACTCAGACAAACTGAAGTCATGTAGAAAACTCTGAATTATCCAAACCATCGAAAGGGAAATAAATGGGCACGAATTTCTCTCCTGAGAAATTAAATACTTCTCTCGGGGAAAAAAAAATCATGAATTTTGATAATGAAAGGGTTCCTTGCCGCCCCCCGCCCCCCCCAACATCCTTTCATTCTCAATATGCCTGGGTACCAGCTTAGTAAACATATGCTTCATGAACTCAAGATCACCAGTGGCTTTCATGCTTGATCCTATTTAGCCTTCCTGCTGCGCAGAAACTTCCTTTTGCTATAACTTTCACATCTGTCCCACATCTTCAACTCCTATTAGATTGACTTACAATGTTTCTTGGACCTCCCCAAAATACTTTATTTCCCCGAAATTCATTGTCCTAGTCTTCTCACGGCTCCATTCAAAACAAACAGTGTTTATACATTTATAGGAAGAGCCAGGCCCTGATAATGAACTTGCTATTTGGCGATTTGATTCCACGTAACCATGGGGAGAGGTGGGAATGGGTGGACTGACGGTCGGCGGGGTGAACCGCAGCTCGGGATCCACCCAACACCGGTGCCAGGTCGCCTCCAGGTCTCCTCGGCGCCCGCAAACGTTTCTCTCCCAAGTTCGCCGCTTACAAAGGATAACGATCCGCGCCGGAGGCCGCTGGGGAGAGGGGGGTGGGGGGCGACCCCCGCAGGACGCGAGGTTTAAGGAGGTGGGGTGGGCAG